AAAGAGTACTTTGTCACTTTCACATATAAAGGTTTTTTAGAGATCACTTAGTCTTGCAGACTTGGTTCGATAAATATTTCAAGGTACCACCTTTGAAATATTCAAAGCTCTAGTCCCAGTTTTACTTAGCCGTGGTATTTAGTGAACCAGAAACGCAGAAACCAATAGTCGGCTGATGTAAAGGAAGCTCTCTATTGAGCCCTTACCGCCGTCACAGGATGTCCAACCACGGAAGCATCTGCAGAGGAGACTGGAGACTGCGGTAGAAGGTAGAAATCTCCACCGCTCTCACCGGAAGCAGCAGTAACAGCAGTATTTACAGTGGCAGGGGTGGTGGAGGAGAGGAGGTAGGCAAAAGCGGTGGGTGCTGCTCCCAGTGCTGCAGACGTCGTCGTCGCTGCTACGGCTGTAGGGCTGCTGGTAACTGGGCGGTGTCTGGGGAGGGAAGTCATACGAATGGTGTAACAGGAGGAATCGGTAAGATGCGATGGGATCTGGTGAGACTCCTTTCGTCTATTTCCTCCTGTCTTGAAGTTGTCTGTCTCACTGCCATCGCAGTTGCCACTATCATAGGCTAAAGGCAGAAAGAAGTACTGTTACAGTGCTTCCTGAGTTGCGATGTAATAATATGCGAAGAGCTAAGGCGAAATCCTTAAAAACGGAATTTCAAGCTTAAAATCTGCATTCCCCAAAGCACGCACTCAATGCCGTTGTTGCCGCCCATCTGGAATCAACAGGTGCTTAAACGGGTTTACCACAGGACCACCGAAGATCCGTGATAGGACACATTTAGCATCCCCTACTGGGTGTAGTGTTCACTGAAGATACCGTTTTGACCTAACAGATCTCAAAGTTGCTCTTTTTAATCCTTTCCAATTAGGGCTCCAAACTGATGACTTAGGAGTGGATGCGAAATAGTGAACTAGACCTGAAAAGTTCATGGACTGAGGAGACTTAAAAGACGAGAAACGGTTGAAAAACGCCATAACCTCACAGTCGAATATCTTTCAGTTTTGAGTAGTATATATTTCAAGCAAAACGTACAAGCTGAACTCATTCACACCATCCACCAGATTTAAAAGTCTATCCGCCTTGAGGAAAAGAAAAAGTTTTTTTTTCAATCTGTACTCCTTCCTCTCTCGCAGCGGATCTCTACTAGCTTGAATGTTTTTACGAGGAATAACTACCGGAGTGGATCAAAAATGGAACTCTAAACTAAATGGTAGAATACAGAATTTATTCCCAATCTCCGGTCTTTCTTAATATGCCTTCCATATCAGCAGTTTTGAATCTCACATCAGTAGCCTGAAACTCGATCATCAATCTTCCTCCTCTTTGATGAGTCTAATAGAAGTTGTCAAGGGCTTGGCAACGCTATCAGCGACACCGAGGATGGTCACATCTTTAAAAGTCCATCAGCAGACATTGTGATGTCAAAATAATATCACCAGGAAAAGACGTCATTCATGAGCTAAGTACTGAATGCTAAATCCCCAGTTGGCAAGGTATTTCCGCTACAATTAGAGAATGGTATTTGCTGCTTCCTCTTTATGTTGCGGCTGCAACATCTGAAACTGTTGTTGGTGGGAGGGATTACAGAATATGAATATTTTATGCTGGCAAAATTACTTTTGGAATGATGACCAACCCCCCACCCCAGAGAGAGAAATGAGGGCGATAAAATTTGGGAGGAGTGGATAATCTTCCGGAAAGATTGGGATTTTATTCATCCTCACATCAAACTTCCAAATGTTTTGTCTGCAAAAGAGTATATTTCGACATGGACTCCCAGAATGAAGAACCGGACTATTGTATAGAGTGGAGAGAATGAAATCAGGCTACCGGTAAATGAAACCCAAATGAGTAGGCCCGATTCATACTCTCTTGCTAAATAACCGGTGTCGATTTGCAGCAGAAAATTGGCAGCATCATGAAATATCTCGGGTGATTAAAAAAGTTGACACTACATTCGATATATTAGCTTTTTGCCATGACATTTACCTTAGACGAGTTGCCAAATGCAGACAACTGTTTGTAGGCATGCATAAGCAAGAGCAAACGTGGATTAGTCTACCGGCACGGTGTCTGCTATTGTGTCCATTTCCAACTTTCACGGTTCAGTTGACTGATTTAGAAATCGAGTGTAATTCGATTTACATGAGGTTCTCACAAAATTTGTTAAAGAGTATTTAGAAAATGTACGGTTGGGAAAACGATCAAGTGCTAGATTGGAGATAGGGTCTTCCCTACACTCAGGTGGTGTTTAACCCAGGAACCTCAATAAGCTTCTTCTGTCACCTTATTTTCAAAACCTGACGCTAATTTTCCCCTATGAGGTATTAAAGCACCAACCTAAAATTTCAGACTATTATAAACAGGACATAAGAGAAACCAACTCTAATTTTTTACTTCTTAATTTTTCCTCTAACTGTCATTTGTAAAGTAGTTTCAGAATCTCCCTCCCACCCGCCCTAGCGCCTTGTCATCACGTCCACAGTTGATTTGACGTCCGAAGCGCCTTGTATACGTCAGATCAGTAGCGACATTTTCCAGCAGTTAACTTCACGAGGAGAAATTTACCCTCCTACTGATTGCACTTAGAAACGGAGATAAATGTGTACTTTTACTAACTTTCCAGACAGAAATGACCATGCGATACCCCTTGGACATGACCAATTGCTACTCCTTCAGCCTACTATTCCCAGTGAAATACGAGTGTGGAATTTTAGCTTGGTCATCCCCGCTTTAAAGATATTAATGGTTCATAGGTAGGCAGAACCTCAGGCCGAATTATACGTTCACTTACAATCCCATAATGATAGGGGTGGAACAAGCTTCTTTTAAAACAAAGGCTGGTTGGAGGGGCACAGCAAATCCCTCAAAAAGACCTTACTTCCGAGTTTATTAATCCAATCCACTACCTATCTCACACAATCAGCAATGATATGACAGAAGAGTCACAAGAGTTACTACCGACTCAGTAACAGGAATTCCCTCTCACAAGCTCCTTACGCAAATGGGCGCATGATTACTAACAATTGTGCGACACCGCAGCTGCTGCCTAATTCTCAAGCGGACACCGTCAGCTTTCAGTCAAATTGGTTTGGACAGAAGGTGAACGATTGAAGCACCTAAGCAGTTGTAGGGCGAAATCAGATTTCAGGCGTCACTCTCTCCTCCCCTTCAGCCCAAGCCCCTCCCCCCGCAATGGTCCATTCTTGCTCCGCCAATGTCCCTAGGTGCAGACACACAGTTTGAAAACTGAAAAGTACAATACCATCCCCATCATTGATTGTGTCAGTGCAAACTTTTTATCAAGAGTGGGCTGGAAAATGGTGCATGTGTGATTATTTCTGTCGGGAATGGTAGAGCCAATCATGCTACGCCCGAATTTTGCTTGATAAGAGAAGTCCTTCAAAGGGGTTAGTTCATGCTACACAGTAAGCATGTTTCACCATGCATAAATATTCACTTGTTACCAATAATTTAAATAAATGAAATATCTTAACACACCACTTCATTGAAGTTCACAAGTTTCGATAAAAACTACTCTTAGCCCTGACCATCTCAGTCAAATTCGTTTCTTGATATCGTAAAAGTCACATTTACGCTAGAGGTCATAAAAAGCTAAATCTTCTGCTTTAAAACAAGGCAGGTAATTTGATTTGCAAAGGAAAAGGAACGCACCAGTGCCTTTTGGTGCTAAAATAGGCACAATTTAATAACTCATATCATTTCAGCAAGGTTGGGAATTGAGGGTAAATCTAGCCTTCAAATCGCCTCCTATTCACCTTGCCATCATCTTGTTCCTAACCTTCTCACGTAATGGCAGTTTACATTACTACCTCATTAACTGTACCTTGGTCCTTCTGTTCAACTTCGACGTAGTCTTAGGTCACTGTGCCCAGTTATATCTCAGCTCTACGTAGTGTGCTGGGCATTGGAGACACATGTATGTGACGCTCCGGTTTTTCTGCTTGGTCAGGTTACTTTGGCTGACTGCAATGCAATGCAGGCTGGATATGGAGTTCCCTCTGCCTAAGCATGATAGGCAATCCAACTTTTTCTATTCTAAAGCAGCAGTTGAAGTGGTCAGCGCTGACAACACGTCTTAACAGTAGAAGAGTGGTGGTGAGTTGTTTCCCTAGGAAGTGCCTGATAAGGAATGCCTTAAAATGCCCCACGCATTACGTACAAGAAAATTAGGACACAAGGTATTCTCCAGAACAAAAGACTTTGAACAAATGTGCACGATTTTTCCTCACGTCTGCAATGTGAAGGTTTTAGGTCCAAAAAAATCATAAACAGAGATGTCAATCCCGTTACCTCAACTGTTAAATACAATAACCATGCGAATATGAGTTCCGTAAATATCACCAAATTCTTGGTTTTTGCAATTCGACAATATTAGTTAAATGTTTGCCAAAAAGCATAAATGCTGTCTCGCAAAAATAAATCAAGGTATTGTTGGCAAAAAGCAACATAAAACGGTGAAAATTATATTGTTTCTTGGACATTGGAGAAGAGTGTTAGGATCTGGGCTGGATTCCAGCAAGACTCCGCTCATTCTGCATTAGCCTTAACCACTCAGAAGCGGATGGCTTAATGTATGACCGCATTTCAAGGGAGTTACAAACAAGCATGCCAACAATACTAGGAACACGCTGATATCTGTTGCCAAGGGCAAAATTGGTGTATTCTTGAGGTTGGCGTTTTTAAGGCCATTAGTTAAACCAAATTATTATTTTCAAATCCCCTGTGATCTGATAGAGTGGTCAGTGAAAACAGATGACAGAAGTAGAAAACTATTTACCTGTCGGTTTGTAGCCATTCAGGGTCTTCTGGAAGCACTCCCTCGTGTTGGCATTCACCTCCACAAACCCATTCACCTTTGACTCACTACTCTGCCACTGTCCCTGCTGCTGTCGTCGCTGCCAATGCCTCTGAAGCCTGTCCTGACGTGCCCTCAGACGTCGACAGAATACAATGATAGCAACAAGCAGGGAGAAGGTAACAAAGACCACACCAGCGATTACATAGACCACCACCATTGTTTCTGTGCCGAGGAGACTCGTTCCTAGGCTATTTCTAGCGCCACCAACACCATCGATTAGTCCGTCGTTTGGTCCAAGACCCAACAAAAAGTCGTTGTGTAGACCCACAGGTGCTGAAGCGTCAACAATAAGGACGACATCGGTCTGTGAGGTCTGTGGACGTATCCCATGATCTCTGGCTTCGATTTGGAGCGTGTGAGTGCCCTGGAAGAGGAAGTAAAGGCTTCAAAAATTTGCTTAATGCGTTTGCTGCTAGCGTCTTCGAAATAAATTGCCCACTGCATCCATTTTTCCTATTGTTCCCTTCTTGATTCAACCTAATCCCCTCACCCCACTTAAGAGTGCCATATGTGTGGGATGTGCAAGCTCAGATAAGAAGATTGCAGCGTCACACACATGTGATGCTGGTGGCGGAAGTTTTAATAGCCTGAAGGTTAGCGGTTTCTATTCAAAGATCTCAGAAGAATAATGAAGGATTAGGTGAAACCTCCATGCGCTTTTGCAGGCAACTTTTTTACTATATAGAGGAAGTAATTTAATGGATAAGTATTGTTCCATTTACCTAAAGAAGTTAGGAATATCATTCATGGGAAACCAACACGATTACAGCATATTTTCAATTTACAGTCAAGCAGAAAAAAGATGCGAGTAAGCCTCTGAATCGTGTCAATTTCTCAGGGAGAACCCTAGATGTTGAGACCTCTATGGTTCAGGAGTTGATAACTGAAATCTTGCCTACTCATTTAGTCTTTTAACCCCGATGATTTCTTGTCTGAGATTGAAAAAGCCTGATGGCAAACAGAGGGTTGTCAAATTGTCCTAATCACTTTGTCCACTCTCATAGATTAGACCGACAAACATCCACTTAATCTTTGTCTATCACAGCCAAATTTTACGACTGTCACAGTAGTAGAAATTACTTTTAAAAAGCTCGATCAAGTGACAATTTGTGACCAAGGGATGACATTTGGGGTGACTTTTCGACTTCTGTTTACATCAACAGTGGTTCAGGGAGTTTTTATGCCCGTTTAAACCTCTCGACCTCGAAATTAACAAAAATGACTTGCAAGACATAAATTCAAAGTGGTTTTAGGTTTTGTTTAAATGCATGCTCAATGGAGGTGTTTTTCTAAACACATTTGTGCTAATGGGGAATCCTCAACACTGATTTGGCCTATCAATACTTCAGGTGATACTCGGAGAGCTAAAAACAAAAAAATCCTCCAATTATTCTCCTATATGATTGGTTCCTCATTCTTTTTTTCAGACTACTTCGGAGAAGTTCGTCTGAATAAGACATGCGATGAGATCAGATAATTCCGTCCCTTATACCTTCCGCAAGTAGTGACGATCTAAAAGCGTAAAATTTCCCGTCATGTAGTGCATTTTGCATCCATCAAAAGTGGGCAAAAAATGAGGTCTCTAGGGCGGTTAATAAATTGACTAATTTTTATAGGCCCCAAATATCCTCGAAAGAGAGAGAGAGAGTAAAGGGACCAGCTCGGAAAGGTGCGTAGAAATAGGCGGGAAAAAAGAAAGGCCGGAAAGAGATTCAAGCACAGCGAAGCTGAATGCTCTCCCCGGAGCACAGATCGGTGGGGAAACCCTTCCAAAGATAAATAAGCTCTGACTTATCTGAAAAGGGTGCTTTTTGTGGTACCGACATCTAAAAGGTGTATAAAAATTGGGCGAACGTGGAGGAGAGTCTTCAATTTCACCTAATAAAAATGGTTTCGGGAGTGGTCAAATGAGATTTTACTACATCATATATTAACCTTTCCACCAATCTAAAAACCGCAAAAGTTGATTAGACTCTTGGCGTGGATTTTGAAAATACATTGCTCATTATTGGTTTGATTTGTAAATTGGCTCTTAGGCCTATCATCTCTCCCAGCCGCAACATCCTCATCAACCAAAAAGTCCGAAGGGAACACTTTCAATGATGAGATAATGTTGCAAATGGCCAACTCAGGCCGCCGTTGGGGCAGATAGAGTAACGCCGTCTCCGTCTACACCGAGGCGGCTATCCTCAATTCTGAGTCTTTGGGTAGTTCAATCAGACTGCATTCATGCAATCTCTCACTCTGAACTTACCGGAGTGCTGTATGGAGCACCGTCAGGAAAACCTACCAAGAAGCCTTTCCAACACCACCAAGAACTCGTTGATTTCTGCTATCAAGGAAAGTGTAACCGATACGAAGAATTCATAATGTCATTTTAAAATTACCCTTATTTTTATTTCGGGGAAGAATTATGCTTCTTCTTAAACAAAAATTGTGCTAAATCACATGTAGAAAATGCACAAAATCTGGGAAAATTTAGTAGGTCTGAAGTACAAGTAAATACCCAATACATCCCCAAAGTTACGCTTCCCGGTGGTGGGACTGAAGCGTCATGGGGACGTAACCCACAAATACTAAAAGCCCGCTCACTTTCTAATTTAAAGCTACCAAAAATAAAAGCCTGGATGCTAAAATAAGCATCTTTGCGGCCTAAAAATAGGTTTGTTTTTCTTTTGCAGAAGAAAAGGGAAAGTCGACCATGGAATGTTCAACGAAGGAGGTGGAGGTACTTCTTGAAGTCATTCAACTGCATCCAGCGATGGATAGGACGTAATTCGACGACTGTCAAACAAACAAGACCCAAAGCGTCATTGATTCTAATATATATTTGAAAATCACCTTCAAGGTCATTCGAAGGTCGAGCTGTAAATACAGCTGACATAATGCCTGTCTGCAGTGCTATAAAGGACAAAAAGAGCGATTTTATCTGCCATTGGAAGCACTTAATTCAAAAAAATTTATTTTAGCGGGATGTGACCTTTTTCTAAGTGAAGTTACAAATCACCAATTATGATTTAGCTCCAAAAAAGGAAGAGAAGCTTAAACGACCCATTAGGGGAAAGACAAATGAGGGATGCAATTAGCAAAGGTCAATCGAGATTTTTGGCCTCCTCACCTCTAATAGCAATCCCCTGATTTCAGACAGTTTGGGCACAATCCTTTTGGCGAAAATTTTCCCCTTAGTTAAATGTTCACCTAGTTTCACCCCTGGACTCCCTTTCACCCCTCTCCATACTTAATGGCAGCAATGATGTATCCCCACCCTGTTAGACACTTTGTATGTCAACTTCCTGCAGGGAGGAATGAAGGAAGGGTGTAAGAGCCTGGATTTATATAATCCACCGGAAGTACCAAGCTCTCCGCCCTCCACACGGCCTGCTACCTCAGGCTGAATCGGAAGTCAGTGTGTGCGTGTGTGTGAGGGAGAGAAAGCCTCATGAATACCGAAAATCAGGCCGCAGTAGCTCCAGCCTTTTTGATACTCGTGAGTTCAAGAATGTGAAACATCACGGTTCCTCAAATCCTCGGTGTGAATTTTTTTTTTGGGAGAAACAGATTTCGGTTCCAAATGAATGGGGAATCTCACAAAAAAAACGGCTCTAGAGAGGCGAATAAGGCAAGCCATTTCACCCCAAAAAACTACCAAGACAATAAGGTTGATAGAAAAATTCAGCGTAAATTTATAAGCCTGATGTCTTCTTGAAAAAACAATGAGAAAAGATTATAGCCGATGATTTCTGAGCAAAGATTAATGACACGGGAAATAATGACAACCAAAGTTGGACGGGATAAATCTACTGTTAATTTGATGACCGGATAGATATTTTTTTCTTACCTTATCTTTCAAGAGAAGACAGCTTAAAGAACTGTGACACTTACAAAATTCACATTTTTTCGCTTCAATTGTTAATTAGACGGTTTCTTGTGAAGAATGGCCGAAACAATCAGGAACAGAATCTTTTCTTCACCTGAATGGTGAGCGGATTCTACGCACAATTTGCTAATTTCAAGAAATACTTTCTTCTCTTTCACATTTATGTTATTTTTAATTTAAAAATTGTCAAATCATTCCCCCTTTCCATCCATCCATCCATTCGGCCGACCAGTCAGCCAGCCCTGCAAGAAATGATCGGTAAAGCGTGAAGGCGGTGGTCGTCCCCAGAGTGGTGAGGTGAAAGCCACTGAAGAAGACACGAAAAAGCAGAAGCAAAAGAACGGCTAGAATTGAGTCAGACGCCACCACACCATAGGAAGTGGGTTTGGGGGAAATGAAAGGCCACACAAACAAGCAAAGGAAAAAAAATAATCAGACTTTGGCTCATTAAGAGAGAAAGAAGGGAAGAGGAAGGCGAAGCAATCCAGTTGCTGCCCTCCATCTAATTGTTAGGTGGTCAGTGGCGCTACTGGCGACGTTCGTCCGAATGAAACACCCTCCCCACTCATTCTCTCTGCTGCTGAAAAGGAAAATTTCTCATCACAATGCCTGTCAGTCTGTGATTGAGGTGCGCCCGGCTGCCTGCAAGTCTGTGGACGAAGGAGAAGAGGAGGAGGAATCCGCTCATCAGTCAGTGACAAGCGAATCTCTAATTTTTCTTACTCCTCTTATTTCGAAGCGATTTTCTCGAAAAAGGGGAGAAATCAGAGATAGTGAAGGTGCGATCAGTTCAACCTAGAGAAGAGGCATATTTTGCACCTCCAGCACCAGGAGGAATAGGTTGAACAGGGCAAAAAACGCCCTTTAGCAAAATTTAGAGGAAATAAGAACAAAAAAAAAAACGGGTCCCACAGGTGACAATCTTGTGTACAGGGGGACAAACATCAGTTGGTTAAAAAGATTGGGGCGGCTTTTTTAATTTGGTTTGCTGCCCTCTAGGGGCTGTTTATATGACTGCACCGTATAGCATCCATATGTGACAATCTCTCGCTACGGTATCGTTGACTTCGCTGTTAAATATTTTGCAGTTATTTTGAATCCTCGCATTATGGAATGTGGGTTGAACCGGCTAGACGTGATGCAAGCTTCTGTGCTTTACGTAATGAGTTGAAAGAGGCTCCAGGGTTGGAGAAGATTATTTCTCCCTAAATTTGTTGTGGAGCATTAAGGGAAGGTACGATAGCTGTTTTAATATTTTTGTGGATTACTAAAAAATAATGTGAATTACATTGAGGAAGACGGTCCACTCTTGATCAAGAATAGTGAAGAATTGGGTGTTGATAATGACGCGCTCCAAGAACTGGAGAGTGAAGTGTCAAGAACAACTTCCCGTCATGCTAATCAGTATGTGGTGATGAAGCAAACGGGTGCCTCATGAATTGGCGAATGACAGACAGATACACCGAAAATGACCAATTTATTTTTACCACCTCCATCTACGTTGTATAGACACGCTGTGCATCTTGGAGCGTTTTCTCTTCGACTGACCAACATCTCGACCGGGTGGCTGACTGGCAAGGGAATGGAAAGTGGCCCTTGCGTTGTAACGCGCGTTAACTCAACGAACGCATCGTTAGTCATCCTCGCACTTCGATAGCACCCATCACTTCGTCCCTACAAAACGAATCCTGCTTTGTGTGTCGCTGTATGCGTGGTGGGCTGAGAATGCATATATTAACTGAGTGCCAAGTGCTTATTTTGCCTGACACTCATCTGCTCCGCTCAACCAATACGAGTCGAGAGTGTGCATGAGAAACTTCTTCTTCTCCCCTGAACATCATAGCCCACAGCGCCAAGTTATTCCATGAGAAGGTTTGTAACTAAAGTTAGAAGTAAGGGAGAGGAAGAGAAGGAGGGCAAGGTGATTAAGGCCTTTGCTCGGCATGGGAAGACTCCAAGATGCTATGCGATGTAAAGAGGTGCTTCATTTGGAAAAAGAAGTGAGATGGACGTAAGGCAAATTTTAAATCCCTTTTTGACCGAATGGAGCTTTTTCTAATTAATTTTTATATCAAACATTAACTTATCTTCGTCTCTGCTATTAATAACGAAGTGCACAGGTTGAACATACTCCCTCTGCAAGATCGTGCCTAGGGTTGAGGAAACTGCTGCCCCAGTTGAATGCCTACTGCACATAAGCTGGAATGAGGAAACACTTATTTCGGCTCGAATGCTTTATAAAAAGCAATAGGAAGTTAAAATATCTTTTCTTGGAGCAGGGCGAAAATTTGGAATGAAATAAAGTAGATTTTAGTGACAATGATCAGATCCCGGACTTCAATTCTACTTAACCGTCGATGCCTTCGTCTGACCCCTCTCCAATTGGTGATGAAAAAGTGATATGCCATTGGGTAAAACTTCTCTTTATTAATAAATGCCAAACTGCGTCTTTTAATTGCGTTTCTAATTGCAGTTATTAATTCTAAGAAGTGAAAAACAGACCGAGCGAAAAAATTGAATGACACCAAATTGGCTAGCATAACAAAAACTGTCAGTCGCTCTACAGTTTCAAATGCAACTTATCTTTTTAGATTTAAGAGGAAAACTCCATGTTTTCTTCTCATTTGACATATAAAACTCCAAACCTCCATTAACATCGATGTCGCCGATGTCAGGTGTCAAGAGGGCGACCGACTTTCGTAAAGCATTTGATCACCTCACAAACAGCACCCTTTTATTTCTTTGTCACCTTGAAAGGGGTAGACAGTTCTTGCAACCAAGTCTTCCGGTAGGTGTCAACTGAATACCACTGCTATGAAGACGGGCTCTGCAGTTTATGACCTTTCAGCCATGTCTGTGTTCCACCGAGATATTTGACCCATGTTTTGATGGAAGTACAAATATGGAAGGGCTGAAATGTGACAACTTTTCCTTAAAACGGTTGATTATGTCTAGACAAGACACAAAGTGGATGTGCAATGTCACGCCAATGGTTAATTGCATCTTTTGGCATAAATCGGGCACTTTTGTATTCACTGCTTGCATTCATTCTCCCTTCACCTTTCCCTTCAAATGTGGCACAAGTTTGATGGATCATCGCACAATTTGTAACTTTAAGGTAGAAGTAGAGAATGGCACACAATTTACATTTCCTCACTAGTATGTAAATTCTCACGGTCTTTCAAAATTCTAAGAGAGATTAAAATCGTTCCCATTGTTTAAAATAACCTACTTGATTTAAACAAATGCACCTCTTTGGATCCACCTGCAGAGGTCCCTTGCGATACCTCTTTCAGGAAAACGCCTTTACAAGGAAGTATCGTGCTCTTATTTCCCAAAAAATCTGGCAAATTCGAACAAGCTAATAATGGGGAACTCCACACTCAAAAGTGGGAAAATTTCAGTGGGATACTGGTAGTCCGTGGTGTGATCCAAATTTCCCTACCTTTTATTTCCATTCATCAAAGTAGAGACAAGCAAATAAGGCAGAGAAGAAAAAAGAAAGTTTCACTGAGGTTTTTCGCAACCAAAAAGTAATAATTTGTAGAATAGCTTAAGGCATAAAATTTTGGAGCTGAGAGACTGGTCCGCGTCTTAAAAGCGCTGTAGAGTACCCCTAAGTAACACCCGAACTCCTTCACAACTCCTGAATTTCCGTGACCTTGAAATGGCTTCTAGCTAACCCCTGACATTAGTTTCATGTTCGGATATGAGAGAAAAATCATTCCTCCTAACCGTAATTTCAAAGCAAAATGACATTCAATGATAACATTGGGAAGAAGTTCATCTTAGGTGGCGGCTCTACTTCGTCAGGTCGTTAACCTCCTCACAGACATCAACATCAGTATTGACAGGGGACATTTGCGGATCGTTTGATAACTCATGTTTCATTGCCTTAATATCTTTTGCCACAGTAATTAGGAGTTATCGTTTAACCCCCTCTCTAACTTCATTCCATGGTTTGATATCTCCAAGCCTTCCAATGCTCGGCAACATGGCCCTCCGATGCATAACTGCATACAGGAACTGTACAGTCCCTCAGAGAAGAATTGGATCGTCACAATATCAAATTTACCAGAAGCGACATAAAAGATCCTCTCGAAATTTACGAAATTCATTGCAGATTTTAAGAGTATGAACTTTCCAGGCATGAAATGAAGTTGCCAGGTTGTCCAACGGAAAGGAACCTCAAGGTAGGATGAGAGCTAATGTAGCCGCTCTTCGTGCATAACTTAGATAGGAATAACAAAAAATCCTCATACTCACCACCTGTTCGGGTACCATCTTCTTGCCAATGTAGAGGTCGCCTGAATACTCTCCCAGCTTAAATACACCATGACGATTGCCTCGAACAATACGGTAGGAGACTGTTCCATTCTTTCCATTATCCGGATCTATCGCCACCATTCTGGTGAGCACGAATCCCACATCCTCTTGAAATGACACTCGAATCTGTAAAATCACAAGATCACCGAAGGTTGTGTCCGAACTCAACGCCTTTCCTGCTTCAGGTTACCACCACTTACTGGAATACTGGTGTTGGTTGGATGAACGAAATGCGGAGGGTTGTCGTTGAGGTCTTGAATGCTGACACTTATAGTTGCCGTGGCAGTATTGTAAGGCGTGGAGAGGAGCAGAGCTTCCGAGGTATATACTCGCTCCTCAGGAGTCTCAATCCCTACTGGTCTGTCGGTTGCCAACACATGCAATTCATAGACTGACTCCTGTTCTCGATCCAGACTTCGCGTCGTGAAGATGCGTCCCTCTCTGTCAATCTAGAGAAAGGATTTCATTTTCCGAATTAAGACATTAATCTGCTCGAGCAAATCGCATCTTTTTTGCTGATGTCTCTATTGCATCTGTGTGCTATCACTTAAGGCAAGTCTTGGACTTTAGACACACCCAAGTCCATTTAGTCACTTCCATTGCTTCATCCGTGGTTTTAATGTGTGCGAAGGTGGGTTATTATAGGGCAGTACACTCAAAACACTTTTAACTGGGACCTAGATTAGCCCTCCTCTCAACCACGTCCTTTTAATTGATGGACCTTCAAATTCCTTTGACAATCGGTAGACTTTTGGACGATCGTGTAAGCCTCGTGATGTAAAAGGGCTATTAAATGCCTCAAACCCATAAACTCATTTGCTTATTTGTGCAAAATTAACCAGAAAGGAAAACCACCTTCTCTTAAATAAGGGAACATAAATTATTCAGCAGGAATGAACGACATATGCATAGAGAGAGAAGACCTCATTAAATGCTTATTTACTTTTTACCAAAATCGGCTTCATTAATATTACCAGAAATATTAAAGACGTTAATGGCGAAGTAGGATATTAAAAACTCCTGTAAATTTCTCGAAAAATAACTTCCCACTTATAAGTAGGCATTAAATGTAGCAAAATAGCAACAGTTCCGAGCTCGTAACACCCATCACTGTTAAATGTCTAGCTTTCAAAGTCGTTAAACAACAAGGACTTACACTGAAGAGATGATAGGAATTCAGGAGGAGGTAGACGACGCGACTGAATTCGGGACCATCGCAGTCGGTGGCATGGACAATGCCAACGAAGCGTTGACCTTGAAAGGCTGTGGAATAGTCCTCCACCAGCGTAAAGTTGTAGACGCTTTGCGAGAAGAGCGGAATACAGTCGTTCACATCGAGAAGGGCCAAGTGAACACCAGCTGAAGCACTCCGACTGGGAGTTCCATTGTCCCTACAAATGACCTTGTGGTGGGAAGAAGAGGAGGAAGAATTTGGAAGTGATTAGCTATCTAACCCTTCCACACAGACTCGGTTGCCTTACTACAGACAAAGACATGGGCTCTTTGTTTATTCTTTTTTTCTCTCTCTCTACAAAGTAGGTAAATAACAGTCTCATGTTTACCTAAAACAAGCATCAAAAGTCGACAAAAGCGGTATCAACTTTGGCGACAAAAAAGTGCCCACCGCTCTAAAAGGCGTGAAAAGAGCAGCTGAAATCCCTTTAGACGACCTTGAAGCGCCAATAAAAGTAATTTGTGGGAGTTTTTGGAAGCATCTTTAATGTTGAGATGTACCCGTAGACACTGGAAACAGCTGTGCCAACTTTGGCCAATAATTTTGTCCACACGTTGGAGGATAGAATCAGATTTACATTGAATTAGACTTTTTCCCACCTTTGGAAAAACTTATTAGTATGCACTGCAAAGTCTCAGTCAAATAGAGAACCATGGCAAAAAGCCTTTAAGTTAGGCTCTTTTTGTCTTGTAAGTGGAGTTGCTTGTCAAAAAATTTGTCATTGACATGCTTCTAATGGGGACCTCCTAGCGAGACCCAAGAGGCACTTATTTAAAGTAACTTTAAGCTCGACCAAATTGTCGAGGGCAATGAAGACGAAAAGACAAAGGCAAAATTACTCTTACCTCTACTTGCTTTGAGTTGGATGTCAATCAATCAAACGTCAGGTCGGAAATTACCCTTTTCTTTGATTCCTTGTGAATAGTATGGTGCCTAAATAACCCACAGTGTACCAATAATCCCTCCCGCCTCTGACATTTACTTGAGCTGTGGCTTTCACTGCGCGGAGTCTTCAACCGCTCGGAGCTTCGACCGCTGCCATTTTGTCGTAGTAATCCATTCTTGCTTCCTCTGCTGCCATTAAACCAGCCCTTGTATAAATTTGCAATATAATTTTATACATCCTCATAGGCTCTTTTACGTCCTTAGGGAGTGGTAAGTTAGTGGTTACTTTATTGTCTCTGTACCAGGCCCCAAGCCCAAATGTGATACGAAGAGGACATCCATTGTTGTGGTTGAATAATTCATTGACGCCCAACAAAAGGCCTATTGAAATCAGAATGACATTTGACAATCCTCACCATCTCCTGTTCTACTCTACGGCCCGTATCAACTGAGGCAAGAATCAACTTGAGCTACTTCCACTGTCTGTTACACGAAGATGTCAAAATAGACAAATGACTAGCATTATGATGGAAAGAATATCTGACAAATGTTCTGACAAGTAGTGACTGACATTTGATTTACGCTTGCTGTAAAGTGTGCACCAGTTGACAAAGGGGGGGGGAGGGGAACCGCTGCACCAATGATTGTGGAATTTCAAGGTCTCCCCGCCCTTATGGAAAACCAGTGTATGACCCTGACCCATATAGTACAGAGACCCACACTTAAGGGGGAAAGGGAGGAGGCTTGCAAGGGGACGCTTCACGACACTGAAGTTTTCGGGTCTCGTAGTAGTTTTCATTGTACGTCACTTTTGCAATCACATTTTGACAAAAGAAGGGGACAAAATGTCCAAATCAGAAACAAATATAATTAAAATGATATTTTACCTTGGTTAAAACTTCTGTTGTAACCTGTCAACTGGGAGAAACGACTTTTGTTGTCAAGAGCGTAGGAAAAACAGTGGACTCGCAAAAATGCGGGAATGTATTTGTCAGCATCAAAAGAGGCAAGAAATTGTCACGCTGATGAGGGTTTTAATGTTTGTGTATCAGAGGGTCATAAACTCGTCCCCAAATTGTGGAAAACATATCGATGATGTTGTGGATAATTTTCGACGCATAAAACGCGGTTTATTTGACTCCACTGAGGCTGTGTAAAAGACGATTTCACCACACGCTCGGTACTTTGTGACCTCACTTTCGCGGTCTTAACTGGTATTGAAGATGCAAAGAAAGAGCGAGTAGAAAAATAAGTTTTTTCCCTCTCCCTCCTCCTGAACCGCCTCCTTCAATCTCTGCTTTTGTTTCCACTAATGGCATTGTTTAGCAATAACTTTACGGTGAATGCTGGTGAGAATTGCCTTTCCCAACCAGTTAATGTCCTTTTGAAAGGCTTGTTCGTAACTGACTCAAACCGCATCATTGGCGTCTTTGCACAAAGTCATTTGAGAAGCCAAACTAGCTTTTGTTGGTGCATTAATTGACGACAGTAAAAAGTTATTTTCATGACAGTAAAACTGGCTCAAATGAGGGAATCTGCTAGACGTCTAAGTGCTGGCTGTGATGACTGATGTTGGAAATTGGTGGCAGACAGGGTCAAAACGGGGATGGGAACCACGTGAGTGACAGTTGTGACAACTACAACGCCACAAACTAATCTGAGGAGTAGATCTTGCAGAAAAAGTCGTTAAAGTACCTGTTTCCACCTCCTACTTCGTGCAAATAAAAGCCTTCTCCTAGGACTTGACTGACAAAATTTCTTCATAAAAAGAGGGAACACTGAAAAGGCTATTAAAGCTTCGTTTTCGGAAACTAAGAAGGAAGTGTAACAGTGGAAAAAATTTCCTAAGAATGATAAAAAATTGGACATGAAGTGGATGGGGAAGAGATTTATTACATCCAGCGAATTCCTTTAAAGAGCAAAAAAGAAATATTTTATGACTTATGAATTAGTTCCAGCTTAACTAGCAAAAAGGCATTTTACTTTTACGTTTATTTTGCCGGTCCACCACCTTACCATAGGAGCAATTTCTACGTTCAATGATAAATTGTAATTTGTAACTCGCACGCTTGACACCCGTTTAACTGGACAAGGGTGGATATTTGATTCTAATCACTTTAAACAACGCAGGAGGTCCCTAAGTGACAATAAAATCGAGGTGATTACGGCTAGTGTCAATCACCAAACCAGTGGGTACACAGTGGGGCAAAAAAGTGGAATTTTAAAAGCCAAAATTAAATGTAAAGTACCTTGTTTTGACTAATCAGATTACTACAACGTTCAGTATTTTTTCCAAAGAAATCATTTTCTGGACAAAGTTCAGTCAAATCAGGGCTGTGGAAAATATGGAGGAGACAACAGGGTGGGGAAAAACGACCCCAAAAACATTAAGTGGCAGGGTTGTCAGTAGCCCTGCTTCCTTAACACATGGAGTGATCTTACTGGAGTACTTAGAGAACTCACATGAAGTGGCGGTTTGCGTGGCACATTTCATTACCTTAAATTATTTCTCCTTTAGTTTTCGGCGAAAATCACGTAAGAATAACACCTTCCGCACCAAAGAATTCCAAGCCACCAAATTGGCGGCAAGCTCGGCGGTAGTTCTAAATTAATTCGTTTTAAAGGTCTATTGATAGTTTCTTGTAGTCTTCCACAATTGAAAGTTATTTAACGTGAAGTTTTATCTATTCTTGTAGCTTGTTTGCCTAATCAGGGGTGGCTCGTGATACCGTCTTGGTGATAGCAGTCAGTAGACTCCATCCAAATAACTACAGGTCTTGATTTCAACGATTGGACACCGTACTTAGAAGAGACAGAGGGAGGGCATCCATTAGTGATGGCTAAATCCATGAAGACTCGCTGTGCTGAAGTAAACTGCACATAGACATGAAATAGTGGAGACTACGTGCTGTACTTTACACCGGCCTCCTCAAATCCGATATCCAGAACTCCGAACTAAATGCACAGCATGTAATACTACCGTTTTGTTCCAGCCCGGGAGTTGACTGTAATTCACAGGAAGTATCCTGACAGCTGAGATGAAGGAGTGCCCACAAGAACAACTCTTCCATCTTCGCGGTCCAACTGCTGTCTTGATGTCACAGCACTCTGCCCATAAGCACACCCCTCCAGCTCTTCCAGAAGATAGGAATCAATCTCCTTATACATCGACACATCTAGTGACTATTAGGGGATGATCTGGAGCCGTTTGAAATCTACAGTGCTCACCAAACGTCAAGAAAAAATTAGTAAGACAAATTAATGTCTTTACAAAATCAGTTTTTAAATCTAAATTGGATTTCCAAGTCAAAAGGACCCTCTCACTCTGCTTTCTAACTCAGGAGTTACTTAATACCCCATTTTCGACACGGTAGTTAGAATTTAAGGTGTGGTTGGTGGAGCCTTCCATTTTATGACGCCCTGGAGACCTTAGTTTTGAATAAAAAAGATTTGTCACGCTAACGATTTATCATGTGCCATT